TATTGACTTTAAGCTTTCAACTGTTCGATCTAATACCACGATCTAAACCTACATGTCAGAGCATGTCACATTCCCGAGCCAAGAATGTACTAGCAGGCGCACCTCTCTCACGCCACATCAACCGTCACCGACAGAATGGATGCTCAATACAGAAATATTTGCACAGATAATCAAGCAAATAGGGCGCCGCTAGTAGATCTATTCGCAATCAACGCTTCAACAATCAGCTACGACATTCGTGTCACCAGTCCCAGACCCACAAGCATAGAGCAGCGGACGCTCTAAGCATATCCTGGGAAGGCCTCAATGCGTCGCGCGTTTCCGCCCGCCAGCAATAATACCTCAAGTGTTACAGAAAAATCAGACAAACACAGAGCCTCCAACTCACTTTGGTCGCCTTACTGGCGGCCAGAGCGTCAGTTTCCCATTCTAATTCAAGAAATCGGTCAACCAACACTAGAGCTACCCAAGCGGCCAAATCTATTAATACATCCACACCAAACAGGTGCCACGGAAGCCAGAAGTATTCCAACTTCCGCGTATGGACTGTATTAAAATGTGTTTAAACAAAGAGGGTATTCTACCAGGGCGCAAAAGCGGTCACGCGCCTTACGCTATTCTACCGTAACAATACGTAACGACAAAGTGGCACAGTTTTTGAGAAGTACGCAGTAAATAAGGGATTTACAGCAAGAGATGCTACTCATCCACAAGTGGCAGATTATTTGTGTTACTTACGGCAAAACAAACATTTAAAAGGCTTTCGACATTGTCAACATATCTTGCAGCGCTTAGTTCTGTCATTACCATGAGAAGCGGGTGTTAGATTAACAAGAACTCCAGAGTTACTGGCCTTACTACGGGCTTTCCGATTGGAGGACCAAAAGCGGAAGTTCCGCTTCCAGCTTGGGATCTGAATATAGTGTTGCAACACCTCACAAGTGAGGCTTATGAACCACTGGAATCGACAAACTTTGAGCTTCTCACACAAGCGCTTTTCCTGTTATCTCTAGCCACAGCAGCCAGGATGTGGGAAATTCACGCACTAGATTATGAGAGGATACAGTTTGATGACAATCAAAACTACAGCACACCTGGGATTAAGATGGGATTTCATCGCCAAAATCAACTACCAGGTCAACCAGACAGGTTATTTCATATCCCTGCATTATCCTCCATTCTCGGATCTCAAGATACACTGGACTTATCTCTATGCCCAGTCAGAGCTCTCAAAATCTATTTAACGAATGCGTTCCAAAACAAGGCGAAGATTTCTCAAAGCGATTATTCATTCCCTTGTCGGCAACAACTCAGACAGAAGTCTCTCGTACTCACCATATCTATATGGATAAGAACTGTCATACTTCATACTACAAGGCAGCAGGACTGGACCCTCCAACAGCATCAAATCCCCATGAAATCAGGCGCTGGCTTCCACTCTACGTACACGGTAACTGTTCTTTTGAATACAATTATGGAAGGATGCTTTTTGGAAATCTAACATGGTGTTTGCTAATCACTACCTGAGAGATAATATCACCACCGAGGGCGTCTCAGGCATTCACCATTTCGTCCCTTGGTCCTCGCACAGCAGTTGACAGTCCCTGAAACGCGTTAACACGTGAAGTCTTCTGAGATTAATATGCATAATTGTTACATGCATTATCTAGCTTATAACTCTACGGAGTTCTAGCAGTATGTATATATGTTCAATGGTATAGCTTCTCTATCAGAGTCGCTTTGATATTGTTGTTTATAATATCTCAGTATATCATAATGTAAATACCCCAGTATGGCATTATAACCTATGGCTTATAATAGAGGAATTATCCTAAGTCTATGCCTTTATGAAGTTCCCGTAGGGGTTATTACAGTTACATCTATTTAAATCACTAATTCTATAAATCCAAAGTATTCTGTTTTGCCCACCTCCGTTTCCGTAGGATTCTACAAGCAAAAGAGCATGAGTCAGGATAAGGAAAAATATGTAATTTTTTGAGTAAAATTGATATTTTATACTTATCCTGACTCATGAGGTTAGCTCCTCCCATCCTCCCACATAACACTTTGGATTTCCCTGTAAATTCAAGTGTTGGGCTCAAGCCAAAATCAGGAGAGTGAAGCATGAGGCCAGAGGGTGGCGACACCTGTTCCCGCGCCAAAAGGGCAAGGGAGGCAACTTCGTGGTGAGTACCAATTAGTGATTTTACATTGAAGGGAGCTTCAATTAAGGAGATACAAGTGTTCCACTATGTTCGCAAGAAGAAGAAGACAAGCAAAAGAGCATGAGTCAGGATAAGTATAAAATATCAATTTTACTCAAAAAATTACATTTTTATTGATGGCCAATAGGATTTTGCATGACATAGCGTATATCATAACAATTTCTCTCGTGGCAGCGAGGTGGGTGTCAATATAATACTACTTACAATATTATTGTTACTTCGACCACAACCTCACTTCCGAGGAAGAAATCGTTATGTTACAAGTTGTGTCATAGAAAATCTTTATGGTCATCAATCGTATGCATATTTTACTACAACTAGTAAGTAGTTTTGATTCTTTAACTTCCGTGAAGCGATCTGAACACAAGTAAGATATCGTTTCAGGCTTCCACAACGCCGCTAAGCAGCACTCACAAACATAACCCATTTAGCTTACGAACTGTGGGGTCCTGTGGAAATCTGTGCATGGGGACACCATCGCCCGACCCCTAGGAGCAATTGATGACAAAGCAACGATTCGCATGTCGTCGTTGATGTCGAGAAATCATCAAAATGATGAGTGCTACACATTTTCTATACAACTAACTGAAAATCGTTCCTCATATGACGTCACTGCAGTGCTCTGGCGACAGAGTTACGTAGAACCTGTCTGTGGTTTTGGCATTGGCGAGAGGGAAGCAGGCGACTTTTTGGCCACTTTTAATCGCTCGGTATTAATTAACCACAAGTTTTTAAAGAATACATTTGGTGTTCCGCATAAGACTAACCACAAATCTTTCATATGTAATGGTTAAAAGAGTAACAAAAAACAAAGTTTAGTGGTTCTTTAAGCTATTCTAGGGAGGACCCCAACATGTAAACTGCTTGAGCTGACATGGAGATGGAATGTTGTGATGAAGATGTTACAGCATACACTACCTTTACCTGCTTTTTATCTCCCTGCAACGCGTTTTGCGTGTGTGTGTGTGTGTGTGTGTGTGTGTGTCTGTCTGTCTGTCTGTCTGTGTGTGTGTGTGTGTGTGTGTGTTAAAATGGACTGTCCGTCTATCCGTGTGTGCGTCCGTGCACATTTGTCTTTTCCGGAGCATAACTTTAAAACCTTTAAATATTTCTTCATCAAACTTAGCACATAGATAGATCTGGTGCTCTACTGGTGCCTTTTGGTAGTTTTGGATTTCTCAATAAAATATTTTTTGCGTTGCCATGGTAACAAGTTGGACTTAGACTGAATTGGTGATAGTACTCTTTTCCGGAGCAGAACTCTAAAACCGTTAAATGTTTCTTCACCAAACTTGGCACATAGATAGATTTGGTGGTCTACCTGTGCTTTTTGGTAGTTTTGGATTTCTGAATACATTTCTTTGCGTTTCCATGGTAACAAGTTGGACAGAGACTGAAATTGGTGGTAGTACTCTTTTCCAGAGCAGAACTCTAAAATCGTTCAATGTTTCTTCACCATACTTGGCACATAGATAGATCTGGTGGTCTACTGGTGCCTTTTGGTAGTTTTGGATTTCTAAATAAAATATTTTTTGCGTTTCCATGGCAACAAGTTTCACTTTGACTGAAATTGGTGGTAGTGCTCTTTTCTGGAACAGAGCTTAAAAACTGTTGACTGTTTCATCACCAAATTTCATGCATAGGTAGGTCTAGTAGTGAACTGGTGCCTTTTAGTAGTTTTGGATTTCTGAATAAAATAGGTTTTTTTGTGTGTTTCCATGGCAACAATTTTGGATTCAACTGAATTTGGTGGTAGTGCTCCTTTCTGGAGCAGAACTTTGAAACCTTTCAGTACTCTCCTTCCACTTTGCTATATACACGCCAATACATTTGACATAATCATAACTCATAGACATATTCATGAAGAAAATTTTGCCGTTGCGGGGGATATTGATGACTTTGTCTTCTTGTTATCCCACCGGCATGTTATGCGGTGGGATATAGTCATCGCCTCGTCCGTCTGTCCGTCCGTCCGTCCGTCCGTCCGTAATCATTTTGTTTCCGGAGTATAACTCAAAGACCGTTCGATATTTTTTAACCAAAATTGGTAGATATGTCAAACATAACCTAAGGTGGTGCCTTTTGCTATTTACAGATTATTGTCATTTTTAATTTTCTCGGTTTCCATGGAAATGATTCAGACTTAGTCTCAAAAAGGAAGGGATGGGTTTCATTTCCGGAGCACAACTGGAAAACTTCTTAATATCTTTCAGCAAAACTTGGCAGATATCCGAGGCAGATGCCAAAGTGGTGCCTTTTGCTATTTGCAGATTTTTGTCATTTATTTTTTTCATGATTTCCATAGAAACGATTTGCACTTAGTGTAAAATCAAGCTGGACTTTAAGTAACTGTCAGATGATTTGTTCTTTCAAAGATGTGGAGGCCGGGGGATATGTCATCTTCTGACTCTTGTGGTATATGGTTGTAATTTGCACCAGTTTTAATCAGTACAATATGCCTTCTGAAAGACTGAGATGATGATGATGATGATGATGATGATGATGATGATGGTCTCCCCATTTTTCATAGTGAAGCAAGTCCAGTCAGAACAACTCAAACCATTCTACCCTGTGGGTTCTCTTTCAGTGAGGATATTGTCAAGGTTAATGCAGGGGCTTGTGGGGTAGGCTTGTGGTGAAAGCATGTCTTCATCACCCTGAAGACCCAGGATTGATTCCCAACATTTGTCCAATGTGTGAGTCCCATTCAATTACTGCGTGCCCCACTGTGTTATTGCGGGGACATTGGTTATGACAAGCCCTGCCTTCTTTCAGACTGTTGGAAGCTGGCGCAGTGAAAGTATTTGCCATCTGTACACACGGTATATTCTCTGGCCCTGCCATCTCCCGCATCAACAACTCCATGTTCGAAGCAGTTGTTGTCACCAACTCCGTCCCACAGGAGGAGAGGATGAAGATGGCCCAGAAAATCAAGGTATGTTACCATGGAGATAAGGTAGAGGAAACTGAAATGTGAAAGAGAGAGAAAATCTACGAGTTACCATGGAGATCAAATTGGTGGTGTGGAAAGATTGTGAAGTTAAGCTTTTTAATAGTGTATGGACATGAACTGTAATGGGTAAAAATTAAATAACTGCAACAGTTGACTGGCTACAACCCACGTAACAGTGTTTAATGTTGCGTATTTTTCACATGACCGATATGTAGGGGATTTTTAAAGACGTCAGGACACGGCTTTACTGCCTGAATTCAGGAAACTCTTGCAGTCTGGATAACAATTTCTGATAAGAGGAGTGTTTATTCAAATTGCAGTTAGGGCTAAAAAGCTTTGTATGTTGCTGAGAAAAAATAGAAAATGAACTGTTTTTTTTTGTTTTCATAATGATCTTTTTTGGGGGGTTGTAATATATATTTTACAGACAATATAATTGGGAGTTAGATAGCTGAAACATCAGTACTAAATAACTTGTAATTGTCTCATACCTGAAGTTGTAATGAATGTTTCAATACTAAAGGAGTGCTGTATAAACATTGAGTGTTGTAACAAGAATTTGAGAAAGAGTTAGCTGTGGTATTGAAATAAGTGTTACACAAAACTCATGGAACTACAGTCGAGCACGGCCACCGTTGTGTCGAACTCTGATAACTCGATATCTCGGTCATCTCCATATAACATCTCGGTCCCGGCAAAATCCTTCATAATTTATCATTATTAAAACTCTTAACTCGATACATATGTCTCGATATTTCGGATATCTCGATATGATTTCATGGTCCTAACAAGCAAAAGTACCCTTTTGACTCGATATTTGTAAAGAAACTCGATATTCACCTACCTTTCATGGGCAAGTATCCCTCTGAACTGAGGTTGTTTCCACACGTTTACACACGGTGCGGCATAAATCAAAGGGATTCAGTAGTGTAAACTAATTAGGGCTAGTTGAGTTGAAGGTGTCACTTGTTTGTTATTTAATTAGGATTAATTAAGAAAGAATTCATTAGAAAGTGCTCACTGTTACTACTAAACACTACTGATAACGGATTATAGTTTCGAATCAAAACATACCGATAAGCGTTTTGTTTTCTTTCATAGTGATGTGTGATGATATGCCCTGGTCGGATGTCTCAAATTTCGGATAACTCGATATTTTTTCTGCGGTGCTCGACTGTATATTTTCTGAATGACTAAGATCGTACAGTGACTTTCCACTAAGTATAGAAAAAGAGGCTTTATTTCCTGGCATCTTAGCAACATTTCCATCTGGAGTTGCAAATATTTGACACTATAAGCTTGTACCATCACAGCCAAAAAGAAATAATCTTTGTGATTCAACAATTAAGCCTTAGTAGGCAGAAAAAAGCATGGAGCATATGCTTCCATCAGTGATTGAATAATTCAGGATCCCATGAAATACTGATATTTGCTGTACAATGAAATATAGGTAGTTGCAAAATAATATTCATAAGGAGTCTGTATTCAAGGAATGACTAACAGGACATGTATGGCAAGACTTGTGCATTGAAGATTGTAGCCTGCCCACAAGGTCTTATACACATTTCACACACACATATTGTACAGAACTAGGCCTCAACTTCACAAGCTTCTTGCTTCACTGTGTGTCTACTTGTTACGAGTTGACAGATGAAATTGTTGGAAATGATTCCTGACCACTGGCAAAGATGTTGGTTCAGCCAGCCTGTATCTGGATCACTGGCAGTAGTGCGGTTTCTTGCAAATTCTAACAGACCCTTAACCCAGACAAAATTCTAGACTTGCTTCATTTAGAGCTGTTGCAATGCACTGAGACCTGGGTGGAAGGGGGAAATAACGTGCTTCAGGGATTGTGGGATAGACTGCTTAAAAGTATATTTAGTAATCTTGATATCTGATGCTCCCTATGGGCCAGAAAGGATCTTTATCTAAACTTTGAAGCATTCTTAATTGACCTCCTGTGATGTTGAGGATTCTAACGGCATTGAGTTTCTATTAGTAAAAGTTGCTTTGTCTCCCAGACAGCTATTACTGGAACTGCAGAAGTCAAGAGTTTAAAGTTGCTTAGAGTTCTGGGTAACTACAGAGTATCAGTAGTAGTACTCTGTCGGTAACCCTGACTGACTGTAGCTGTTGACCTCTTGTGGGATTTCAGGCTAGGTCCACTGTACCCCATGCTTGGTGTTAGTGGTCACTGCCAAATGGCACATTTCGTTGTACACTGTTGGACCCTTGTTTTTGTGATGGAGCACCTGTTTGTCTGGTTGGTTATATATATCTTGCTCGTAGCTTGAATAATGCTGACTGAGGGGTGAAGTACCATTGACCCACTAGCCTTTCATGATAGTGTGGGTGAGTGCTTTCACTAGGGTGATGATTAGGTTTGCCTGCTTGTAATCTGGTGTATGTTGGCAGGATGTTGTGATGTAGTCTTTTCATTCTTGGAATGCCTGTCACATCTACATGTCCACTGTCCTTTGCAAACCTTTATCAGTCTCTGCCTCCAGCCCCACCCTAAAGAGTCTCCACCCTCCAGCCCCACCCCTCATCTATGTTGACCCTCCAGTCCCACCCCTCATCTGTGTCAACCCTCCAGCCCGACCCCTCAACAGTCTCCTCCCTCCAGCCCCACCCCTCATCTGTATCAACCCTCCAGCCCCACCCCTCAACAGTCTCCACCCTCCATCCTCGAACCCCTTCATACAATCTCCCCTCTCCCATCCTATGTCCTCCAGTTCCCCAACCACCCCTCATCTCCAGCATTCCTGCATCTCCCACCATCCAGTGTCTCCTCAACTCTCTCAATGTACACAGTAGCCATGTACAGTGTCCTTATAGTGTTTGTGTGTCTTGTATGTGTCAAATGCAGTAATCAGTCCTATTGTGCTTCTAGACCAATGTGTTTTAGAAAGAGTTTTTATTATAATTTATGAAATCGTAATGTTACGACAGTTACTGGTAGGAATGAAATAAAATATTTTCTTCAGTACAATTCTTAAAAAATATCTCTTTTTGTGCGCTTGGTTTATTCATTTTACTTTTTTCTCTCCTTTGTTTTGTATTTAAGCTTTGATTCTTGGATGTCTTGTACTGTACCTATTTACAACAATCCAGTTTATCACCAGACAAATATACTTGAAGTACAATGCTAGGCCTTCCAACATTTTGAGAATCTCACATTATACAAAAACAGTGTTGGTTCAAATCCTGCAAAAAAGGACAAACACTTTGTGCTTGACCAAGAAAGTGTAGTATTTCTTCAAAATACTATTCTCATGCAACTTATAATGTTTGAGACATGAAAGCTTCCTTTTGCTATGCTTTTGCACATTTTATGTATGGAATGGGTTCTTTAATAAGGTTGATAGAGTAACTACATTTCACAAATAATTGTACTTTTTTAGAATGTCTTTTAGAATATTTTTAAACTTTTAATAGCCTTCTGATACTCAATGGATAAGACATGGCCTTGACAATCCATGTCATGCAGATGTCTAAACAATCAGGTCAAAGGTCTCCTTGATGACTGATATCCTTCATAGCTACCATGTCATCACATTTTGTAAAACAACATGATTGTGTTAAAAAAAATAGGTGAATGAGGTGGTTGTACAGATGGGGAACTCAAACGTAGCATGGTAATAAATGTGTTTGTATAACACACAGTTATTGCCTGTAATGATTAAACTAAACTTTATTTTAAAAATAATTTCTTGCAAAGAAAAACATTGTGCTTAATTATTATTCACCCAAAATTGATACATTTTAACTTGTACATGATGGTTGTGAAAAAGATTGCTCTTATAAGTTCACCATTTGGAAATACATTTTGTTTTGAAGTTGGCACTGAAAACATCTACCTCTTAGCAGAAATCACCACAAACACCACCCCATAGTTTTACAAACTAAAATTCTTGTAAATGATTGATTTTAGCATATTACAATTTTTGTAGGAAAGATTATTCATTGAAGTCACAGTAGAGATGCTACTTAACCCAATTTAAGCATAATTACCCAAATTATAAGCCTTACCACAAATTATTTCTACAAGACAATGTCACAGAGAGCAAATTGTTACTATGGTGACAAGAACCATTCTATAGCAGTACTACACTGGTCAATCAAAGCACATAGTGTTAAACTATCCTTTACTCTCTGATACAAGGTCTCTGATTGGTTGTAGTGTTGTCATGTCACTGGGAACGAATATAGCATTACTCTGACATGTTGTGGGAACCTAGAACAAAAACTGTCTTTCTGATGTCACATGATGAATGTTGTAATGTGTGGAGCTTTCAACACGTTCTGGGATTTATGTCTGAGACGAACAAAGATGTCAAAGCAAAAACCAGCATTGTGAAACTGTTAGGCCTTGTTCTCATTATATTACACTTTATACTCAACTGATAACTTTCCTTCAGTTATGGAGGACATCTTCTAACTACTTGCTGCAAAATGCAAAAATCAATTGTGTTTTGATTTCTAAGCTCTGTCTACAAACATAATATGTTTGTATGATAGTTATTGCACTAATAAGAAAGGACATGTATGATAAACAACGGTTCTTCCCTCATCACCTGTTTTCAATATGGAATGTGTAGTTTTGCCAATTCTTGATTACATATTTCAAATCCATTTAAACATAGAAGTTTATGATTTGCTGGACACTTATGTCAGATTGAGCAAAAATTCTATTTTCTTGAACACTTATTCCATATCAATTTCAATATACTGTATTTTAAACTCCTATTTCATGTCAATATGCCATTTTCTCAAATATTTATTTTAAATCTATTATAACATGCTGTTTGCTTGATAATTCCAAATCGATTTAAACAAACCACTTTAGCGTTAAAATATCGTTGGTTTCATGGTGACTTGTTTTATGTGTGTTGGGATTTGTGTTGGCCATGTGTATGTTGTAGAGCCTTCACCTCCCTCTTTCTCTTCTGCTTCAGCTGATTGACATTTCTTCCATTCTCGCTGAGGCTGTGCGAAGGACTCATAACGGAGAATCTGTCTCTTTCCTCTTTTCCCACGTCCCCTTGTAACCACGGAAACTTCCCATTTTAGTTTTGTCATGTGGGTGGTATTCAAACTTCGATATTCTTGTAATCCTTTCTATTACCACCCAGCCGAATTTGCAACCTTCTGTATGCCATTTTCTTGATCCCTTATTTTATTCTCATGGTCCCAACTTTTGCATATAATCTATAATAAGTTCATTATGTACTGCCTTTTTGTGTGATCATAATTCTCCTATATTGTGTGCATGGTGCGTTATCTTACAAAATCCTACATATTAACTTGAATTGAATGTGTATTCCAAACTCATCTGACAAAGATATCAGTCGTATGTATCAAACAAGCCTGAAATAATTTAAATAAGTGACTAACTGATTGGTATGCTTATGTGAGATGTATATTTTAACACAGACCTGTTTAAAAACAATATTGTGTATATTTTTGTAAAGGTATAATGCAAGTAAAGAAGGTTAAGAATATCTACTGCCTGTTAACTGTCATATACAGACTAGTTCATTGACTGGTTCATGAATGACTGCATTAATTATTAATTTCAAAGCTAGTGTTTATTTCTGTGTATGCACATTATATTCAAACTGTTGTGCTACATTAACATAACTCTCTCCACTTACTGACACTCTCGTGTGGCGCCTTCCCCCTCTCATCTTCTCAGCTAATGTCAACAGTTTGACATGATAATTCTTAGTATTACATGTTCATAATTAACTACAGAATGTTTATATTGTTCCTAAGTACCAAATAATCAGGATACAGATTGACCTGAATTTGAATGAATGCCACATTTGTCATTTTATTGTATTTTCTCCATTTTCATTCCTGCTACGTTATTTTAGATTTTGCCACTTTTACTTTTAACCACTCAAATGCAAGTAATAAAATCAAGGTATAAAAGTAAGTTGATGTTTTTTACAAATATATTTGCACAAATATGGAAGAACATAAAACACTAATTTAATTAAGTTTTTGCAAGGGAAATGTACAATGTTTCAAGGGATATATCTTGTGGCACCTAATCTCAAACCACATATATCTCACAAAACAGCACCAAACTAGACACGATTTAATCTCTATATCACCTTTTCATGTTATATCTGGGTTTTCAGTTGTTTCCATGGAGAACCTGACAATATTGCTTTTATGCAACTCTTAAAAGTTTCAAACATCAGTGACTATTCCAGCAGTTATTTGATCATCTTGTACCCCAAACATTGTAACAGCTTCTTAAATTCTACCTTGATTTCTCATAACTTTTCTAATTTATCTCAACAATTCTGATTTACCTGTCAGAGGTTCTAAGTCACAATGTTATGTGGAAAGACTACAGAATACTGGATACCTTCCACCATCTTTGAAAACTTTATATCTGCGCAAAAATGTGAGCAACCCAACTCGAGTATTTAGTACTTCGCTATCTTTATGTACTTAACTTTTTAGGTCTTGGATTTCCGTTACTATCTTCTTTAGGGTTAGTTTAACGAATCGGGTTAAGGTTAGGGTTAGGTTGCTTTTCCATGCTCATTCGCTCCAACTCCCAGAATTCGGTAGCTCTGTTTTTCAAAGACACATATATTTTTTTAATTTAGGATAACTTACCTTTCATTTTCCAAATCGTGGCTGGTAGGTATCCGGTATTCTGTAGGTGTACCTATTATGTCATTGGATAGTACCAACCTATACCATGGCGGCATCATGGAAGAATGTAGTTGAACAGTGAGGTGAAAAACTTGATAACATTTGGGGATTTTGACAGGGGATATCTAACCCAAACACTCAACAGTCACCAAATACAGTAAGCATAATCCAGACTACATGGTTGATTCATGTAATGCATTTTTTAGTGGGTTTATTTTTTCAAATTATTCAAATTTTCAGTTGTTTCACTCTTGAGCACTTGACAATTAAGGCGGAGGGGCTCACAACATTGCAACATTGGGCACTAATATCTCAAATGTTACATTACTTCACTGGTATTGTCTTGGATTCTATACAGTAACATGTCATCACGACAGTATATTTTATTAGTAATAGTAATAGTCCGCTTATTTGGTGCTCATGTCCAGGCACATTGCCTGCTTACGGTGCTGTGTACATTTGTATTACTGAAGTCATCAGACCACAGTGGAAAATGTTATATGCCACCTTTTTGATTACCTATATCATATTTCCATGTAAGAATAAATATTTACTTTCTGCTCTGCTATGGAATTGTAATTGAAATAATGATCACAGTGGTAGTCCACAAGAAAATGTCTCTCCTCAGAGTTACCATCTTTTGGTAAAAGTAGTTGTGCATAAGTAAGTAACATTAGTCCTTCCTGTATTTGACAAGTCTTAGGCCAGCAGACTCAATTGAACCCTGATATTACAAAATGAAATAGCAAAATTTGATGTAGCATTTTCTATATTGGGGTGGTTAAAGCATTTGCTAGACACGGGTTTGAAGCCCATTCCTGGTGTTCCCTGCCGTGATATTGCTGAAATATTGCTAAAAGCAGCGTAAAACTCAACTCAATATTTCACTCTATATTTAAATATGAAAGCTGTGTGAACTTCTAGTTATGAAGTGTGTTTGTATTCATTCCAGTGGGTAGCTCTGCTGGCTATCTGATATGCATCTAAGAACTTGTGTACATTCATTCACTTCATTGAGGATTTGAGAGTTCTCCAGTTATTGTGGACATTTGGCACAACTATGTGGTCTAATGGTACCATACTGTTTGTTATATTAGTAATGAACATTTTCTGCCATCTTAGTGCTTGCCACGGTATTTAAACAGGCAGACCTAAAAGAAGCATCCATCCTTTTTCACCTGAACCTTACCTGAAAAGGCACAAAAAATGCATTTCATGCACTGAGTCAATAATCACACTTATTAATGAACCACTCACTGCCAATTAACAAAGATTTTCTCAAGACCAGGATTACAATAACACTCGAATTGTAAACTTTCATATAAAATATTATTCTGTTGACAAGATTATAACTATACCTTAACAATCTACTTACTAAAGTCATATTTACAAAATGTTAACAGTTTTAACGAACATGCTCAATAACACTATTACCTTGTTTCATGCCATATCGTTTACTTTGTTTACCCAGAATATGCAATTGTTGGCAATACTTGGCTTGGACATTAACAGTTTGGCACTGTGGGCTGGGTTACTGTCCTGGCCTATTCCCTTTCAGCTGTTTGATCTTGCTGTTTGATCCTGTGCTCTAGAAGACTGGGTTATGACTGCCATTGCCTTGCAGATTGTTCCAGCACTCAAGTAGTCTCAGCATGGCTTTCTATCTCCCACCTTACATTGTAGCTTTACTTCTTCAATATTTTGACCATGATATGTAACATTTTGTCTCTAAGACACTGCATTTTACATATATATATCATATAGTTTTACCAAGGTTAAATATTGCAGATTAGACATGTGTTTTATTGAAAATATCATGTTTTTGCTTGTTCACATTTCTACAAGATTTTCAGCAAAAGCACATGGCGAGGGTTTATTCTTCCACACTTATTAGAAATAATTTTTTTGTTATTTTCTTTCCTCCACACATTACAAGCCTTGCTATATGCCATGCGAATAATAATCGTGAATGTAAAGCTTTTCAAAATAATTGCTGAGAGTTTGCAAATGGGTCAAGGTCATCCAAGGTCAAGTTCATGTTCCAGTTCATGTTAGCTTGTGCTACATGGTTTTAGAAGGGCTAGCAGGCTAAGATGGCTTTGTGTAATTGGGCTAGAACCTGAGATTGTTCCACTGTGCCACCCTGACATTTTGTTTATTTTCTTTGCAGTGTATTGATATATCCATGATATTAGCGGAGGCCATTAGAAGAACACACAATGGGGAATCCGTGTCCTATCTCTTCAGCAACGTTCCCATGTAAGAAGAAATTAATTGTCACAGTGGTCCTATGAATCTGCCTAAAAGTCGACACTTTGACATTTGAATTTTGAGGAACCAAACAGCCCAAGAATGGTCTGCACCTTGATCCACTTGTACGAAGCCTGATGTGGACATGTTTTGTTGTTAAAAATCGAATGAATATCAGCCTGAAATGAACGAAAAGGGCAAAAAGTGCAAAAGGTTTTTGGTTCAGACTGTTTTATATCATATACTAAGTGTCCCCAAATTGTTAAAATCAATTCATTTGCCATAGGCAGACCCTGTCTTAGGTGGTGGTCATCCCAAACGTGGTTCCATGTCCTGGTGTTATAACATGGAGCCATTATTACATGTGTCCTGGCACTGTTGAGAGTTACATCCCTTTCCATGCATATTCTGCTCATTGTGGGTTCACATTCAAGAGTGTAACATGACCTGGGGTATTTCTGAAGTTCTGAGCTTCTACTGTCTCCTTTGTTGCAATCTTAGCAATAAACTGTCACTGTAAAGCATGATTCAGATCAGCTCTAAATCCTACTCAGTCAATTTCTTATTCCCAAACGTACGGTTTTGATCATCGACCTTAGTCTGTTTGAGTCTGATTGACCATGGGGAGCAAGGAAGAAAAGAAATCTAACTTCACTCATGTTGAAAAGTTTACTATATACATTGAATCACATAGTATTTCTTACAATGAATATTATTGGTGTTGACTTAGTTTTGGTATAGAGTACATTAAGTAGGTGTGAACACAAATGGCCTCCACCTTTGACATAAGGCAGACTTAAAGTACTTGCGTTTCCGGTACCCAAAGAAATATATTTGTTTAAATCTCACATTTCCATATAACTCATCATCCACATTGACATGCAGATTTGAGATACTTTGCAACGACTTCACTTCTGTAAACATAAAAAAATAAACACACAGACAGTGTATGTTAAGGCCATGTTGCTGTGACAACTTGATACACAAGTATTGTTTTGGCCAATGGTTTGTTTTCCTCTCGGTGGACGAGACATGATTTATGTATGCTACAGCAGCTTATTGCAATGCAATTGTACCAGTGTTCGCAGCACAACAAAATATATCACCAGTGCATCGTGTTTGTGTGTTGCATGTTGTTTGTTGGGAATGGGTAAACATACATCAGTCTGCTAGATGTATATATATTGTGACACACCAGAACAGAATACTGTGAAATCTGGTTCACTCAATCTCAGTTGAATGTGTGCTGTGTTCGTGATTAAGTATGCACGAGGTGGACTCCTGTTTGTTTGTCAACATCAACAGTGATCCCACAGATCAGGAAAGATAATTTTTGTCTGGAGATTCTGGGTTAGAATTAATCACCAGCAACCTATATTGATCACAAGAAGAGACGGAATGGTTTAGGTGTCAGGTCACCCTGACCTGAGTGATTGCCTATCATCACAAGCCAGCAGCTGGGATCATTGCTCACACTGTCAATAACTTGATTGTCTTCTTCATACTGTGTTACCTACAGGCTGCCTGGTGCTGGAATATTGCTGAGTGGCATTAAACAACAATGAAAGCTCATATTTGTCATAAGCTGACAGTGAGTGGGGCTGGTTGGTCAGGGCTTTGACGTCATTGTGTGATGCCATCGTACCTGATAGTGTTGATGTCGTCAACCATTGAATACCGCTGCCCAGAATTGATTCCTTACATTCCCCCTTCAAGTATCTGGAATTTTTGTAACTGCGGAATACACAGCAAATAACAATAGAAAAGTCAGTTAATATGGATGATCACAATCGTTTTGAAGATATTACGATTGAGTTACCAGGCTTCACTGTATTTTGTTTTTGCTAGATTTTCACTCAGTTATAAGCTGTAAGGACTTACTCCTCCAAATGTACGTACTGTTGCTTGAGACACAGAGAAACAACCAGGAATTTTGTGCCTCATCTTCACTAAAATATAATTACCCCTAAACATTCAATTATCCCTTATTCTTTGTACAGTATATAGTGCTATTTTACACATGGATAAGAATAGAAGCAATCGAGATGTCTGTAGTCAATAGAAGGCTTGACCTTTGCATGGACGTGTGGCTGGTGTTGGCAACTTGGGTGGCACCGATGGAGGGAATTAAGTGCATTGATTGATAGATGTATTCACCTTTCAGATAACACCTCAAATGAAAATTATGAAATATTAATTCTGTGTGTAACATGATCTTGAATTCGTGCTGTATAACATTGACTAATTCTTGATGTCACCTACTGTAGAGTGGCTGGAACATTATTAAACATGGCATTGCTGTGCAGATCTAACCAGCCATTGGAGTAGCCAGTTCTGGGCTTACAGTGTTTAAAACAGAGTTTTGTGCCATAGCCTCAATGTGAATGATTAAAAGGAAGGTCCTGCATTCAAATATTGAATCAAAGGGGCGGTGGGGTAGCCTAATGGTTAAAGCGTTGGCTCGTCACGCTGAAGACCCGGGTTCGAATCCCCACATGGGTACAATGTGTGAAGCTCATTTCTGGTGTCCCCCGCTGTGATGTTGCTGAAATATTGCTTAAAGCGGCGTAAAACCAAAACTCACTCACTCACTCACTATTGAATCAAACCGGAGGAAATTCCTCAGGTACTAACACAGTTAATGGATAAAACCTGTCTGTAAAAACTGACACATATTTTGTCTGATGGGTGTTTGTGCTTAAAAATATTTGCTCATCATACCGAAGACTTTGGTTTTATTCGCCACTAGGTTACTAAATGAGAAGCCCATTTCTGGTGTCCCCTGCAGTTAGAGTTGTGAAATATTGCCAAAAGCAGCCCAAACCCCACTCCCTCACTAATGTTGTATATTTAGGAGGATGCCACACAGTATACGTTGATGGATGTAACATGAGTGACGTACCAGCCTGTACAGGAAGTCCCCACTAGTTTGTGTGTTTAGTCTGTTGTGTTCTTGCCATGTGCGTGTGATGTGTCGCCTGTTACACTTTGTAGTTTCAGATCATAAGACATCAGAAATATGTGTTCCTGTTTTCCAACCAAGCCTAACTTTTCTCATTTTTCTTGTGTTTTACCCAAGCTTGTATTACCATTTTGTCCATAATTAATGGTATAAATCAAAAGAAAGAAAAACACGTGACCTACTTACACTGGATTTAATATTTTGTGAATATTTGTTAGAAGTGTGAGTGTAAACGTTTCACCCCATACCATTGTCATGTTGAAGTATGATACCGTGTCTCACTCATGTATTACGATCTTATGGGTACATACTTTTCTGGTACATTGAATTTTGATTATCTCCTTACCAAGTTATTATCAGTTTATTGTAGCTTGAGTGTGAAGAAGTTTTGTTGTCCCATAAATCCATTAAATGTTGAAAATGTATTTCTCATGATATTTTCATTAAAATATGAAACTCAAACAAATTTCAAGGCAATGAGAAGTTTTGACCTTGCCTGAACTGCTGACATTGTGTCAAATATATTTCAGAAAAGAGGAGAGTTCAGGGTAACTGTTCATCAGACTTTTCAAGGTGTTTCATATGTTTGTTATCAGTCGGAGAAATCATCACTATCCTGTATAAGGTTTTATTGTAAGAATTCTTGCACTTTCTGATTAACAAGATATTGCATTTATTTCCTTTGGAAACTTCCATTTAATTTTCTTCGAATACTCAAGAGTTGTTTTCTCTTTGACATCATAATGTGGTACCTTGTATCATCATTGCCCCATTGATCCTTGCATTAAAATATGTGAAACCCCTCATTGCTGTTTCTATTGTTTTTGACAAGTAATGTTGACATTTGTTCTGTGTTCAAGAGACCCGTGAAGGTTTATGCTTGTCGTAAGAGGCAACTAACGGGATTGGGTGGTCAGGCTCACTTTTTGGTTGACACATGTCATCGGTTCCCAATTGTGCAGATCGAGGATCATGCTGTTGATCACTGGATTGTCTGGTCCAGACTGGATTATTTACAGACCACCGCCATATAGCTGGGATATTGCTGAGTGTGGCGTAAAACTAAACTCACTGTGTTCAAGACTCGACTCCAAATGATCAATTTTGACATTGACATCCCTCTACACAGAGCTATGGGCCGCCGTGTAGTGTGTTACTAAGTACATGGCAGAAATCACTCTTGTAAGATGTTAAGGTCCTGGGCCCCTTTTCACATAGCTCTAGTAAGCTTAAGATCTCGTAACTTTTCTCGTAGCATTTGTACCGCCTATGTTACAGTATAGGAGGTATGAATGTTACGAGAAAAGTTACGAGATCTTAGGCTTACTAGAGCTTTGTGAAACGGGCCCCAGAGGTCTAACGTTGCTTCAACACTAGGAGTAAGAGGCAGTTACTCTAAAACCTTTCTGTTGATGAGTTCAACAGTGATACGAAGGTCAAGGTCGGGTTTCTGACACCTTTTAAGGGAAGAAACTTTACAGTAAATCTTTGACGTGCCCTGACAAGATGAGTAAGTTTAGTTTTACACCGATTTTTAGCAATATTTCAGCAATATGGTGCGGGACACCAGAAATGGGCTTCACACATTGCACCCATGTGGGGAATTGAACCTGGGTCTTCTGAGCAACAAGCAAATGCTTTAACCTCTAGGCTACCCTACCTTGCCAAGATGAGAACAGAGCACTGGAGTATAGTCGAACGTGTTTATTATGTTTACACATACACAGTACATGATACACAGACACTGGCAGTGATAAGGCTGCAAGAAGATGACTTCATGTTGGCACCATCTGTGGAACAACCCTCACCTGGTTACCTGCTCAAATATATCTTATTCTTCTATTAATGAGGATCAACAATTCCAAACAGTGTGTTTGAATTACTCTAAATTCAAATTATTTATAATGCGTTGAACAATAATAAAGAACAGAATCTTTGAAATATGTAATTTTCTTTTCTCCACACCTGCATTTTCACAGGTGCTGGGTAAAGTTTTTTCTGTTTCTGAGAATCTTGTTCTTTTAAAACATTTCATCAACTATTTGGTTTAATACCATTTCAAACAGTATTTCAGTTGCAGCATATTGTTTCTGTATGTCAGACATGGTACTGACATCTTTGATTGATTTTGGGCCTCTGACCAGGCTTAGCAAGACCTGCTCCACAGTAGCGTTTCGTACTACAAAAATGCATGACCAGAATTACATGTTTAAGTCCAGGCTGGAGAAACTTGCCAGTTCTCACGCAATGGCTTCAGAAAATATGGTGTGTTCTAACAGATAAATTGTACAAAAATGTCACAATGTGCATTTTAGTGTTAATTTCATTTTGGAAAGTTTCACTATCAATATTTGGTATCATAGAAATATATCAAACTAAACTATGAAATTGGTTACAATGGAAGACAGCAAAATAATCAAGAATAAACTTTTGGCTGCAGTGAAACCGTGTGAAGTTATGGTATCAACAATAATATGTCCAGTTTTCCAGTTTGAAACAGGTGAGGTGAGAACCGAAGCAAGTACTAAACTGGATTCTGTTAGGACTATAATCTTCCGTAATCACCAGTGTAACACTGAGTGTTGTTCTAGCAACATCACCAATGGGAACTCTATGTCAAGCATTGTAACCCTGTGGGAAATCGGCTTTGGCGTAATAGGCAAATGCTGTAATCACGAGGCCATTTGTTTTTACGCTGTTATACTGTATAAGCGGACATAACTGATGCCTCTCTATTATATGTATGGGATTATTTGTCTTGCTACTTATCTACAATGCCTGTTTTGGACAAACGGTTTTGTACGATCATCAGATGAAATGATAACACACAGTTGAATAAATAACATAGAAAACAGTTAACAAGCATGTTAACAGGTCATAACTCAAAGCTGAATATATCTTCAAATTATATCTAGCTATGAAAAGCAAAATAATATGGATGAATCTTTTCATGACTGGAGGTCACAGCATGACGTATAATGACATGTCAATCATAACAAGTATAAATAGCACCAAGAGTCGGACATGATGACATGATTAAGAGCACTGCATTGAGAGACACTATTCAGAAATATCCTGAAAAATGAGAAGCTTACAAAATAACAGTTTGAATGGACTATAATTTGAATATTTGACTTCTGTAATAAGAGAGATCATTGATAAATAACATATCAGTCGAAGAATTGTAGGCGAGAGAGGTTAAAATTGTAATATATTAGAATGTTAACTTTACCTAATATACTCATCAAGAACTGAACCCAGACTACCTGTCATCCATGCAAACACCCAGCATACTGGGTTACTATATCATTAGACAGAAGGCAATGAATTCTATACTATTTCTTCATAAATCTCCAGAATTCAAAGTTGCAGTGATTTGAGGAGACGGTTTCACTTACATCTTAAACATTCTGATATAAACAGGTAAGGTATTGATGTTTATGAATTTGTCAGCCAACCTCATGGAACAATCAAGCTTCCAACAATATTTTCTACAAATGTTTGATCACAGAATCACATCTGTCAAACAATATACAAATGTACAGAGTACAACAATCTTCCTGCATCTAACGGTTGAATCAACCATATGTACACAAACATTGTTAATATTTCCCTGATAAGAACAAGGAAATTCTTGTCTATTTTCTTTTCATTGAACATAAAATCAATCTGACTTTTCAATAAAACTATAATTTGGAAAGTAGGAAAAAATACATTCAAGCAATTATAGCATCATCCTTACAGCTCGAACAAACAAACGGCACACCATGGTACACATAGCCTGTTTGACTGATGCAACAACATAAACATGTGAATGGAGTCCATTGCATTTGGTTTGCAAGTACTTTTATACCCACAGTAAGAAATCTAAATCTTCTGTCTCCGAATTATTAAGATGCAACCCGAGATAAATGTTTAAAACTTGGAGAAATATGAACAGTATGTGAGACATCCCAGAATACCATGGCAACAAGCCATGTCACCCTGAGGGTATTAATTGGAACACAGTCAGGTAAAATCTCCCTGACAAGAGAGGATACTGTAAGAAAACCTAAAGGTGAGTCAGGTGATCGGTTACTCCATGCCAGGATAATAACTGGTAACGGATCAACACAATGTAGGGGCTGGATCAAACATGGCAGCCGTTGACAGCCAGGCCATGATAGACAGTTTGGTGTAGAACATAACTGGCTGCTGGATATGGGGCCATGATAGCTACATGGTACAACAACATGATAGCGGCTGACAGAGAATATTCATATTGTAGTGAAAGACTATAGAGGTCTGAAGGATCTTCATGGCTGAGATATGCAATTGATCTGGAACATTTACTCGCCTGAATGGTAAAACATGGCTCACCTTAATATGCCTGAAATTTTGCTTGTCCTCAAAATACCATTAAACAGACTCAGGATAAACTCGGGCAAGAAGGTGACGGCCAGTTTGTGTACCATTCTAGCCATGGAACAATAGCCATGTTGCCAGAAGCTTCAGTGACATGGAGGCCAAGAGGTGAAGGGTCAGGATAGCTACTAGAAGAAGGATATTTATACCCATTGGAAATAGCCATGATTGCCCGACATACAGCTAAAACTTCTTACCAAAAATGATATTGTTTGCCATTAACTAGAGGATGAGAACAACCACATGCAGGTCATAACCAACCCTCCTGGCCGGAGAATATTATGGACAAGCTTAGTTTCTGAAGTTCATTCAATGATGCATGTGCAGTTTTTACATGCAGATTGCTTTCCGTGACTGACACTGCTTTCTATCTATGGTGAACGCTGACCTAGCTGCTAAGCTTCATCTTCTCTAGGATGGGGATGACCATGTCGTAGCGTGGCCGTTTGCCCGCCTCTTCGTTCATGCAGATCTTGATGAGGCGAGACATGTGACTGGAGATTCCTGGAGGGATCTTGATGCGCAGACCTTCCAGTGCTACCTGGAAACACATAGCCATGATGCTTACAGCTTTTGCTGGCATGATCACTACCATTTATAATGAGAAAAATTGAACTTTTTCAGAAGTATTGCTTTGAAATATGCGATAAGCATCCAAATGCCTCTTTCAAATATGTTTAACACGTTGACTGCCTATCACAAGTATACTCGTAGTATCAATTCTGGCTGAATTTGCTACTACGAGTTATCTGGTAGCCACATCAGTGGTATTTCAAAACAAGTTTCTCATGTTGGCAAAATAGGTGCAAGAAACAAACGTCTCCTGGTGTTCTTTGCTACCGCCAGGAAACGATTGCTTCTGCGCCTGTTTTCCCAACACGTAAAACTTGTTTTAAAATACCACTGATGGAGCTACGAGATAACTCGTAGAAGAAAATTGGGCCAGACATTGATACTACGAGTGTACTCGTGGCGGCAGTCAACGTCTGAATACACTTTCACTACAAAATACATGCCACAAACCTTTATCTGTCTGACAGAATGCCTGTCCAAATAAGTATGTTGAATCATCAACATTCATCTACAGTCTTGCCAATCTGCATGGGCATTAGATCAAAGACCTAAGAGTGGGGCCAAGGTCACTTGCATGTGAGGTCAAGGTCATTTATATCAATGCAGGGTCACTCACCTTCATGCCAATTTCCATAGGTGTGAGGTCAGCAAACGGTACCTCCCGAGTCTCCAACTCCCACAACAAGATAGCGAAGCTCCACATGTCTGCAGCTTTCAGGTTAATTTCTACAGGCTTCTTCAGCATAGCTGTGTATTGAGACAATATGCTGTGTACTGACATATGTTTATTGATGCAATATGCTGTTTATGGATACCATATGTTGTGTATTGAAACCATACGCTGTTTATTGACACCATATGTTGTGTATTGAAACCATACGCTGTTTATTGACACCATATGTTGTGTTTTGAAACCATACGCTGTTTATTGACACCATATATTGTGTATTGAAACCATACGCTGTTTATTGACACCATATGTTGTGTATTGAAACCATACCCTGTTTATTGACACCATATATATTGTGTATTGAAACAATATGCTGTTTATTGACACCATATGTTGTGTATTGAAACCATACCCTGTTTATTGACACCATATGTTGTGTATTGAAACAATATGCTGTTTATTGACACCATATGTTGTGTATTGAAACCATATGCTGTTTATTGACACCATATATTGTGTATTGAAACCATACGCTGTTTATTGACACCATATGTTGTGTATTGAAACCATATGCTGTTTATTGACACCATATGTTGTGTATTGAAACCAATATGCTGTTTATTGACACCATATGTTATGTTTTGAAACCATACGCTGTTTATTGACACCATATGTTGTGTATTGAAACCATACGCTGTTTATTGACACCATATGTTGTGTTTTGAAACCATACCCTGTTTATTGACACCATATGTTGTGTATTGAAACCATACGCTGTTTATTGACACCATATGTTGTGTTTTGAAACCATACGCTGTTTATTGACACCATATATTGTGTTTTGAAACCATACCCTGTTTATTGACACCATATGTTGTGTTTTGAAACCATACGCTGTTTATTGACACCATATGTTGTGTTTTGAAACCATACCCTGTTTATTGACACCATATGTTGTGTATTGAAACCATACGCTGTTTATTGACACCATATGTTGTGTATTGAAACCATACCCTGTTTAATGACACCATATGTTATGTTTTGAAACCATACGCTGTTTATTGACACCATATGTTGTGTTTTGAAACCATACCCTGTTTATTGACACCATATGTTGTGTATTGAAACCATACGCTGTTTATTGACACCATATGTTGTGTATTGAAACCATACGCTGTTTAATGACACCATATGTTATGTTTTGAAACCATATGCTGTTTATTGACACCATATGATTGTGTTTTGAAACCATACGCTGTTTATTGACACCATATATTGTGTTTTGAAACAATATGCTGTTAATTGATACCATATGTTCTTTCGATGTTTACGCTCCTTCGAAATAGGAACTTTAACAAATTTTGGAAGATAAATCAAACTGTCTACCAAACGACTGCCTGCAATTAGTAGCAACATGTTCAATAATCACAGCATTGAGAAACTATTTCAATATTCACGAATATTTTGTATTATATTGGTCAGTTTTGTTTATCTGACCAGCACACAAAGTGTTTCTGTTTGCAGCTGCCAGTAAACACACATCTACCAGATAGGACTGATCATTCTGAACTTGTCTGTGTTATGGAACTCTGCATCTGAACAAGTCTGTCTTGACCAACTGTTGCTAGTATAATGCCACACTCAGTAATATTTCAGCTATGTGATGTCTGCCTGTAATAGTGAAGCCTGGACCATCAAATCCATAGCTTGATATAAACCTCATCATATGCAAGCAAGTCACCAAATCTGACCATCTGATCCTTGCAGTCACCAAAAACAAGGATCAACGGGGAGCCATTCCAACCCCAGATTCCATCTTCTGACCAACTGACCATGTTGTCCACCTACCTTCGGGGGCCATCCAAGCTGGGTTGTACTCCTTGCCTCGCTCGTGGAAGGTGAACCTATAGTCGGCCATGTTGATCCGGGCTGTCAGGTCCTCGTCAATCTGATCACATCAAGAGAAGAGATGATATCACAGCTGGACAACTGAAGGACAGCCTTAGAATGAGCAAACATCACGCCAAACATCTCACTCTCTCAAACAGAACCAGAACTGTGACCAAATGTAGACAGCTAGGTATAAAAATACCTGTCACAGATCAATTATATTTACCTGACAACTGAGAAACACATTATCAGGGAAAGTTACAAGTTGTGACTGATGCTCCACTTCCAACAATGTAATGAGTGAATGTGTTTGGCTTAACACTACTTTGAAATATATTTATTTATTCATATCACAGAATGTCAACTTGATGTGGAAGGAAATCCTGATGTCATGTTTGTCTCAGACATTTACCAGTTTGGTGAAACCCATGTACTCGAGTATTGTGCTTGCATACACAGAACAGAATCATTTTAAAATGAAAATCAAATGATTACAGATTTCTGGTATACCTAAGCACTGCTCTGCACAGTAATTCAAGAAGTAGGCACCCACAGACCGCCTCAACATTGAGATATGTATACCCGTAACTGCCATGTCACATTTCCTCATAATTGACATTCATGATTTTCATGGTTGTTTAAAACCAAATATTACCTTTCTGTATTTGACCTGAACTTTATGTTCATTCTAAAGTGACATATATTCTTCCGCCATATAGCTTGAATATTGCTGAGAGTGGCGTTAGTGTGTGAGTAAGTTTGATTTTACGCCGCTTTTAGCAATATTCCAGCAATATCACGGCGGGGGACACCATAAATGGGCTTCACACATTTTACCCCTGAGGGGAATCGAACCCGGGACTTCGGCGTGACGGGCGAACGCTTTACCCACTAGGCTACCCCACCGCCCCGAGAGTGGCGTAAAAAACAAACCAACCAAACCAAACCAAACATATATTGTTATGAAAGCTAAACATTACAATAAATAACAAACCATATTTCACAATATACTCTGTACCACCTTTACTGGAGGCCCTGAATATGAAGGAAATCTAAATGTTTCTAACAGGAATTCTGGTACAGAAGACCACACTTTATGGTGGCACTGGTCCTTTAATGATAGACTTTAATAATAAATATGATTCATACCTTTGTAAGTAACACATCAAATCACAAACCCATTCCAGTTGTATTACCATGGTTATGTATAAATTCTACTATCTGTATCAATCCAAAGTTGGTTCATTCTCCACAACAACCAACTTAACCACACAAACAATATGTACAATCTTTAGTGCACAAATAAATTGTGTGAATATTGACATTGATGGAACCCTGGTCAGCCACAGAAGACAAATTTTCCGAGAAAACATTTGAATAAATGTATAGAAGACTTGAATTCAAAATAACACAACACAATGAATCAGCGCCATCTCTGGTTCAAGCAGCAGTTAAGGGGAGACAATCTGTGGTTGTGGTTAGAATTGGTTACATTTTGACAATCAGAGCTGGCACAAGGACACTGAAACAGTTGGCCAGCCTCTGAGATTAAATTCTGCATCCCAAAACTGAAGCCAGCCACAAATGCACATCCACAAGGATGAAGATAGTTAATTATGTGTCCTAATTAAGGAATAACACTATTTCAAAGTTGGGGAAGCACTTGAGATCAATTTCTGTCACTCAATAGGTAACACAGTCCAATGCTTCATGAGTTTCTTGCACTAGTTCTTGTATATTTGTTTCAGTTGGGGAACAGCATTTATATTTGTACCGGTAACTACTAACAGTCTCTGAGTGAGGGCTGCTGTTACTTGTGGAAGAGTAACATAATCTAATTTTTCACTTCTCTTGGGTCCTATTTTTAACATGGGACCAAAAAACAATAACCCATGGAAATTCTTGCACTCAGACTGCTAAGAAAGGTTGGTATGAGCCACAGGCCCTCGTGTCTTTGCGAGGATTAAAGAATTTATAAAATATATACAAAAATTTGAGATGACCCCCGACTCGAAATGCTTCACAGTATAATACATTATGACAAGGCCGGACACTTCGGTGTACCCTACCCGACTGGTTTGCCGATCGCTATGCTACCATCGCATACAATCGATTAAAACTTAATGTAAACATAGTCATGGCCTATCGAGCACCACTCATGACACCTTCCAATTCTTTATTGTTATTTCTGCAAGTCAATTGAAACCTGATTTTGACTCTCAACTAAACGATTTTGACACAAAAGGCTGAAGATATATCCACACAAAACAGGGGTGTGGTCGAAGCAAGCATGTATTGTACTGTGAAGCATTTAGAGTCGGGGGTCATCTCAAAAACAATATTTTTTTAATAATAAATCCTCGCAAAGACACAAGGGCCTGTGGTATGAGCAGCATGCTTGAACAACAGAGGTGACAGATTGATTCATTGAGGTCATAAATCATTCTATTGTCAAAAACAGAAGCCCCAAACCACACTTTCTCTGTTTGTGGGCGTGGCTGTCCAAGGTTCCACTCTACATGCACAAGCATACATGGAGGAGTCCAGCTTCATGGTGGTCCACTAGCTTGCTGCAAGTTCCTTTACCCAGAAATACTGAGAGTGGATGTCAGCATATGTTGTTATTCTTGATGACCTCCATTGACAAGAAATTTGACTTGTGTATGGTTTTAAGAAACTCCCCCTTTCCACCAGAGGCACTTATTACATCAATTGTGATAACTGTATTTGTGGGCTATGGAATTTGCAGCTAGCACTTCAACTATATATACTGTCCAATTCCCATCAAACTTTGTATGTGTCTACACAAGTGTGACCTCTACAGCTGAAAATAAAGATACAGTTCCATCAGTATGGCAAGAATATTGAAGTCAGACGTCCAGAGGCCCAACTTCCAAGAATCTCTATGTACTAACACACTACAGTGTGGCCCTCATCCCAGTGAGTAGGAGAATACAGTGGAAAAATGAATGAATGAAAATGATTGATGTTTTTTTCTTCTTTTCCTCCCTTTTTCATGAATCCTCGGCCTCGATCAAACTATCATGTTGTTGCCAAATAAGTAACTAAATAAGTATAAATATAATGAAATAACTAGCAATAGTAAAAGGTGATTTTCAATCAAACACAGAATTTATAGTTGGGTAATAAATAATTCAGTTTTCACAAAAATCTATCCAAACGTACACTTATCATAATTGTATCTTTACACTGTAAGTTCAGCATATTTAATGTTGTGCTGTGGACACCTCCAGATAAACAGCCAAATTCTGTATCACTTGAAAATAAACATAATGTATGAATCATAGATACGTGAGTCTTGTGTCTAAATGTACTTTCTGGTCAATCCATGTTGAGGTATACACGTACATGCACCTTTTTGTATAACAAATTGTAGTGCCTCAACTATCCAGTGAGGACATAAATATGATACATTAAAAAACATAATTAATTGCATTCTCTATTTCTGTGGTCAGAAAAAATAATCAGTGTTACAGACAAACCATGACATTGTGGGAAATTTATCAAATCAGGATTTTCATGCTCAAACACAGAATTAGCTTAAAACACATTCACAAAACAAACAGAAACTACCTATACTTATAGCACTTCAACCCAAAAATCATTCATAAACAAAACACAAACTTGTCTCCTAACAAAACAATTGTGTCCAGTTCTCCAATTGGGTTTCAGGTGAGAAATATGGTGCTTTTATCAGGGAATCACAGAACGCTCAATGATGACAAGGGTGAGAAATGTGGTGTTTGTTTAAATCCCAAAATAAAAGAGAACATACTGTGAATGTCACTAAAAGAGATAGTCGATAAAACTGGTGTGACGATTCACCTGATTGTCAGTGCTCTGCGATACAAATACTGTACTATCAATACACTGTGATACAAGAACATATAAAGAAAGCATAAAAATGGTGTGAAAATTAAATGAGTAACTCTTTGTAATAATGTATGTTCACAAATTCTTAAGCTAATCAGTTTTCAACTGGCTTAAATAAGATTTAATTGGCTTTGATTGAGTGTTTTCAATCCCTTTAAGATGATTTAGAATAAAATATTTCTGCTTAACAAGACATTCATTAAGCATTTATTTAGCGTATCTTGTATCACAGCCCGACAATAGTGATCAAGGCCCACTGGTATTACAGCAGTCTGTGTGCTAATACTGTCTCAGTGATGAAGTGGGTTGGGTTAAGGTCCTATTTGTACAGTTTTCCAGTCGTATGATGGTTCGTCATCTTAATGTGGGCGGAAGGTCCAGTAGGTCGAGATGTTTACCACTTTGACAAAACCCACGGTCACGGCTGTAGTGCTGACAAACCTACAAACAAAATGGGGGGCAAACTGGGGTTCAAACCCTGGTTTCTGGCCTGCCCAAGGGAAGCGACTCTGTGGATTACTCCATGTTAGACATCTTTGCCAGCTGTAGATGTCATAACTTCCACACTGTATTATAGCCCACATAGTGTTAGCACAAAGACTGCTCTCTGGAAGCAGGCCCTGTCTCACTACAGCCCATTGTTAAACCCTGGGTAATGATTTATGATTGGCTCCTACAGATCTGTTTGTTTCCAGTGTCCACAATGCCCTCTGTAACCATAGTAACTGCTGATGCAACCATTTATAAGATAAATATGCTCACTCATAGAGTACTTCAGTTTCAGATGAACAGTTAACAGTTTACTTTACAAACACATATTGGTACTAGAAATAAAACAAAACCAAAATTTATAACATAGTAGTGATTTCTATAAAGAATAGATAATCACAGAATATATAAACGTGAAAAAGAAGTAAATTGTTTGGGGAATATCTGAGGGTTAATTTTCTTTTCCTGCTGGCTGTTTTGAAATCGGATTCTGCACAAACTCAATGACATAGAAAATATCTTAAATAGACTGTTCTCTGAAAGTTCATTTGATTCCAGATTTGTAAAAGTTTTGGTCAGCAGATTACATCAAATATGTGATCAGCAAGACATGCATAAGGGAAATTTAACCAATACGATCCTAAGAGACCAAATTATTTTGCCATGTCCACAAGAAACAAACACATCCTGTATTTGAGCCCAACTATCTGATCACCAAAGAGTGCAAGTATGGTATAAATATCATGTAATACCGAGCTGAAATACATAACCATCCACTCCAAGGCATCTCAGTGTTAGTGTTAAACAACATATGCTACAGAAATGCACAGGCACTTCTTCTGAAGTCTTTTACCCCATTTATTTCGCTGGCATATTTGGGATCATCAACATTAATTTTAGCCAAGTCCTCGTCGATCTAAAATTGAAAATCCATTAGCTATAGTGTGGCGAAAAACAAGGTTGAAGCACAAAACAACAAAAGAAAAGTGAAAGTGAAATCAGTGACTGAACAAAACATCGTAAACAAATCATCAACGCAAGTATTATCATAATACACATGATTTCTCCACGATCATGTCACAGTTAATTCGTAAATATCAACACACATTATTGTTGTACATGATAAAAAATGAAAGTGGAAGATTCCATAATACTGTAAGCAATGAATGGTTAATTTTTGGTTCATATAGTAACCTGGAGAGAGAATATAATCTCAACAACTGTACCATTTCTGTCAATCCAAACTGACATTAATTTTTGAGAAAAAACATTCCTTTCTCATTCACCATAGCTGTCTTATAGCCTCAGCTGCCAAATAAATTTTGTTTTATGATTTAATTCCAAGTGAAACTGACATCCACCCTACCATGACATGTTTGCTGGTCAGCAGGAAGTTGGGGATCATGGGCTCCATCGAGTGCAGGAACTCCATTCCGCGGGCGATATCAATGGCGAACCTCAAGGCCTGGTTCTGGTCCACCACAATCCCTGCAATCAGAAACCTGACGATGCATTGGTGTATCCTGCCACGTTCCTGCATTATCCTCATATCTGAATCAGTCTTGTATATCCATCGTTTTTCACACCACACCAATTACGTCTTTTAAGTATAGGAATCTATTCTCATTTTCGCAAAACATAAACAAAAGAAGGCTATGCATAACATATGTCTTCACTTATCCAAGATGTTTTCTTTCATATCTGTTAAAGTTTGATTTCACTATACAGGGTGCGACTTATCGACGTACAACCTGGGCTTACGACCCACATTAATACTGTAACTGCTATACAGTGACACTGACCAGACTCTCCATGTAGGGTGTTGAACAGGGAGCCGAAGGGCATGAACTGACTGATCACCACCAGGTTGGGGGGCTGGTTGCAACATGCCAACACCGGTAGCACGTTCGGGTTATTGAAGATTCTGTAGAAAAGGAACAAGTAGGAAATATACATGCTGTGTTCTCTATGGAGAGCTATGTTAAATGTATACTTACTGCCAAATTAAATTTGGAACCCAAAGCTTTACATGTAACAAATAAAGGAAGTTCATAGGGGCTTTGAGTTCCTATAGTATTGTTACCCATGACAGAAATGAACGCTATGACGTGGCAAACTGTTGTGGGCAGTGAGGAACTGCTGCAATATTTTTGTAGCCAACACAGTCATCAAACAGAAAGCTGTTGCTTCTCTTCAGATGGATCAATACTCACCTAAGACGAGGGAATTCTTCCTGGAAGTCACGCGAGTTTCGGAGGGTACAATCTACAAGGTTGAGAATCTTGGCAACGATGTCATTATCTTGCCATCTACCACGCCATGTCTGGAGATAAACATCAAACATTTAAACAACTCTTTGCCAAAAAATATCATCCTTTGTATTGAAATACAAAAATGGGACCAGAGTGTATTTGTTTAAATATCCCAGCAACACCACATTCTTCCAAAGAAAGAAAATGTTGTCCTATAAATCAACAGTCTACACATATTCCAATGTACTGTATTTAAGAATATATCTGTTCAAAGAAATGTTCTTCCCACACTAACCTGTGATCTAACAGGAACACATATCAAAGCAGATTTAAACCCAACTCAATCACTCAGTCACACCCACATCCTGACTTACCTCCCCTGAGTGAGTGGAAGCAACATGGCCGACCAGCTGCAACTGGGCAATGTCTATACCAGGGTGGCGGGACAGGAGTGCATCGCCTGGGGATGGAGACAAGATAGATCATTGTCAGTTGTTTAGTCACAAAGATGTCCACATAGAGTTTCTTACTCCATATGACAATGCACCTCCAATTCTCAATTTTTATACACTAATATTGCACACAAATATTACATTTTGTCTGGAATATCTTATCTGGAATGTCCCAGTGGTGTCTCTGTGATTATGCTACATTTTTTCTTGGAGACACTTACGACTTCTTGTCTTGTAGCCTAGCCAGCTCCTGTCCTTGAAGGGGATTTTACTTAGGTCCTGTCCCAGAGCCAGGGCTCGATCTGGAGAACAAGTTTTCAAATATCATTAATTAATTCTGGTATAGGTAGACATATACACTGGTCTGACAGAAGCCAGCTTTACAAATGTTACTGTAAAATTGTCTGATATAACATGCTTGTCACACTGAGCTTTGCTAGCACTATAATACCTGTTGAGATTCTTATAGTCACCAGAGAGATCTAATCGTCACACAAAATTATTTCACTGAAAAACCTGTCAACATGATTCATCTTCTTTAAGTGGCTTGTAGAAGCTGGTATGATGTAGAGGTTGCTTTAGAACGGTGTTAGGATCTACACTGAAATGTTGCATCTATTGCAATAAAGGAGATGTCAATCCATAAAAAAGTGTTCCTCTTCATCATGATTCAAAGTACATGTATAACATGTGCGCCTTCATTCTCATGTGTATAACCTCATTCAGCTTGCAAAATCCCAACCTTCCCACAACACTATCACCCTCCTCACTTGTTCAACAGTTCCTGGGCCATAACCAGGGAAAAGCTCAACTGCTTGTTCTTGTCATTGAGGAACCTACCTTTCAGCATCTTTGTCAGAAACGGCTTTGCTTTATCAAGTGGAACTTCGTCATATTTGTTGGCAATGCTGACCAGAGCTCCATTGTTGACAAGATCCTGCCAGAGGAACAGACATATTTGTTGACTACAGATGCAGCTGAGACTTTGAGACAAATGTCAGAGATTCAAGGATTTTGAACATTTACATATTAAGTATTGAGTCTTGACATTGGGTTTTCAGCATCAATTCAAAAGGGATGGATAGTACTTAACTGGGAAATTTGAAAAGATTATTTTCTATAGCATCCATAGTTTTATGTGAGTAACTCGTGGGCAGTAAGGCATGGTGATGCAATTTCACCCAACCAATATCTCCTGTTTATGTCTGTTTTGAGACAACATAATATATATTATTCATGAAAATGGAGTTACTGTGACATAAACGTTTCAAGTACTACTTGTTTCACAAACCTCAGCAATCTGGTCAAATCCCCAGAAGCAGGCATAATGCAGGGGTGTGTTTCCGTGTTCATTGATAGCGTTGATGTTGGCTTTGTTGTGAAGGAGCTGAAACATACAGTGTGAGGGGATGTCACTTTTAGCATTATTCCAGGTGACATGCAATGAAGTTTATTAGTTTCAAGATTATGGCGTTAATATGCAATTTCCATGTATTGGTGTGATACTATGGCTGCTAGTGCTAGCCCACGCTCAAGCTTGTTTTACAGTGCATGAGATATGATATATATACCATGCCTCAGTTAAACATGAATACCCAACTTAGACACTGTATACCAACTCCAAGCAGCCCGTCTATGTTTTGTCCTCTTAATGCTGAGCACCAGGGCCTTGATTTTCGAAGCTCTCTTAGCGCTAAGATAGTCGTAAGTGCCATACATTAACATAAACTTACGACTATCTTAGCGTTAAGAGAGCTTCGATAATCTAGGCCCTGGCAGATAAGCAACAAGTTCCATCTATTAAGTTTGAATATCTTTGTCAGTTGGGAATACCGCTGCTTTAACAGTGTTTCTGTGATATCAGTTATGTGGGAAGATAACCCAACCTCTGATGTGTACCACTTTGGTGACACCCATGAGCGGGGGCTGGTGCTCCAAACCCTACAAACACATTCATAGCAAACTGGGATCCAAGCCAACTGTAATACATTTCTGGCGTGCCCAAGGGATGTAACTCTGTACAGCTATTGATGACAACAATGATGACAGATGAAAGACAACAGAAATGGCAGATGACGACCAACCCTTAAGTCAGATCCCTATCAAGGGAAAGGGTACACTGACCGGTTATGCACTGGTGCCATGAACAATTATGGATGGAATCAGATACATCTTTAACCTTATTATTCAGGGCCTAGATTTTGAAGCTCTCTTAGTGCTAAGATAGTCATAGGTTAATGTTAATGTATGGCACTTACGACTATCTTAGTGCTAAGAGAGCTTCAAAAATCTAATGTCACATTGGCAATTATGCAAACATATTTATACTATGGGTTTTAAAAAGTTTTCACGTGTATTTGTATGCTATGAACCCAAATTTGACCAGGTAATCATGATATATTCTGTGTATTTTACACCAATGCACAGCTGATCTTGAGCTCTTTATGTAATGATACTGTCTTGTCAGTATCTCCCTCACTCACCATGACGACAACGTCCCGGTGCCCATGGCCAGCTGCCAGATGTAGTGCTGTGTCGTCACCCATGTTGGTGGCATTGATCCTAGCACCCCGTTGTATCAGCATGTCGACAATGTTTGTACGTCCCTCTCGTGCTGCCCAGTGCAACAAACTGAACCGATGGTCATCCCTGAAACATTGTACATTGTAGCTAGCCAATTGTACTATCACTAGTGTTGGGGAATAGTTGTAAACATCAAACTAGCTGATTGCATCATCTCTAGTGATCTATCTTCAAAATTGATGAGCAGGCACAATTTTCCTGTTGTTTAGTGTTTACATGGTTAAGTGAAGTAAACATCCCTCTCAATCTTTCTGTGTCATGCTGCACTGTGTGTCATGCACGCTGTATCGATTCATGCTTAAAATAATGCATGATAATTTTTTAAACAGTAAAGACAATGTGGGCTAGCTGGAACCCATTGTAAACTTATCCTTGCATGTCTAAGGGGTGCAACACTGTTCCCTGTGATGTCTTTGTGGATCACACCAGTCTGTTATTTACATATAACTAGTCTGGGATCAGATCATGTACTTTGGCCGATCTTTTTGTGAGCAATGTTGAACCAATTGTGAAATTATACCTAGAGTATTTGTGGGACTTTGTTGACTATACTTATTAATATTACTGACAGGTGTTTCCTTGTGTCTAAATTAGTGAATGAACTACATCTTACTGATGCCTCCAGAAGATGTTAGAAGAAATGTTTCAAGAATTTGAGTGATTCAAATAGATGAGGAATTCTAAGATGCTTCGGTGAAAGATCAAAGTCACCGACAGTACTTTATCAGACGATAATGTGCACTTTTTGCATTACGTCACAATGTATTGGCGTCACTGCGCCATTCTAGTCTGCCCCCTTCTAATCGAACAATTTTGCATTACGTCACAATGTAAGCTGCATGTCAGTTGTCATCGCTTCCTACAGCCTCCTACAGTAAACTATTCCGTTGCATCCCGTTTCCTGGTTTGCAGTTGCTTCACACAGCTAACATCACTGGTGGAATCATTACGTTTATGTTTTCCGACGGTTAAAAAGTCTCAATTCGATTCACAAGTTTTCAGCGACACGGTAACTTTCGCAATGTTTACATTCCCACAATGCAATTATGGAATGTCGCTTGACTACTCAGCTTCATCTGGATGTACTGATCTAAACTTACGTTGGTAGTAGAAATGCGACGCTCATATTGCCCCATATCGTTTACGTTAATCATAGATGTAATTAAAATAATTTAGACAAGGTATTTAATCCGTCATCAAACTGTTAACCTTTTTTTTTTCTGGTAATGTTCGTCTTAACGTGGGGGGCAGACACATCAATAGAACAGTGCGCCAGTTTTCTGCCTTAGATTAATCGTAATTATCCTTAGAAAGTAGTAAATTTGGCATCTTAGAAAAGAAATACAGTTACAGCTCTACCACCATGTATAGTGTAATAAAAGCACACTTTAAGCCCTGAACTATTATAGTTCAAGCGGAAGAAGCTTCCTCGAGTGCTTTAACTATAATAGTTCAGGGCGAAAGTGTGTTTTATTACACTATACATGGTGGTAGAGCGAACTGTATTTCTTAATTAAATGATGTTGTCTTTTAAGACAATTACAAAGATTTTTGGTGAGCTCTTTGAAGAATTTGAGTTCCTGTATCATATTTAACATTTTTGCATGCAGCGATTCTGTCAAAACCTAACACTAAGTTATCTGGATCTTTATTAAATTTGGCTAAGATTTATGGTCCAAATTGTACTGAATAAACATTTTATCACATAAAACACATCTAATCTACTCTGTAGTTCAGACTGAAACAGTACATGTAAACTCTAATGTGATGCTTCCAAATCTGGATTAACCTTTGACACATCTGGTAAGCTGTTCTCCTCAACAGATTGCCATACAGTGATGAGTATTGTTAAAAGGTCATTGTATTAACCCATATAACAATGCCTGACTTCAACTGATCAATGTTGTTCATTATGCTCCACTGCCAGTAATCATTTGTATGACTACCGTATCAGCACTGATGAGATTGTTAATTTCAAATCCTAATTTAATCCTGAATATTTCAGTAAGATTGATACATGTCAAAATGAGAGAAATTCACCTGTGGCAATAACAACAAATAGGAATAAAGATAGGCAATGCAAATCTACAGTGCATGTGTTTGTGAGTAATATTCCAGATGTAACACACTGTTGTGTTTATTTATATTACCCTGCCACATCAGTGTATCAACAACCTGCTCTGTCTTGTTAAAGGATCAGTAAGTCAGTGAGTAACTGGGATGGACTGCTGCCTCTATCTCCTTTTTGGTTGCTACAGCTGAGCCAATCAGAATCCGTTTTTAGCTCATTTCAACAACTTGATGCTATAAATAGAACAGGTGCTCTACTTCTCTCTAATAAAACAGACCATTAATAAAGTTTGATATTGTTGTGGTATGTGCCAGTTGGTCCACTGTCTCTTACGTGAGCAAATTAAACATGATTTCGTGTTCTATATTTCAACGACAAACAAATTATCATTTATGATTCATGGAAATGCGTGTGATGAGACCAACCCTTACCCTTGATTCAGATCGTTCTCTGTGTTATCCAGCCATACTCGTACATGGAAGGCATTGCCTTCGCGCACTTGCGTGAAAATATCATCCATGACTGCGTTTAGAGGTAAATAAAGTTTCTGAAATAAATAACACCAAAGCTTGACCTCCTTCGAAACTTGGAAGCGGTTTCCGCAATGAGCGTGAGTATCCTCACGATCTGTGAAAGTATTAGGTGTTATTTAAAGCTAACACAGATACTAGTTTGTAAATCCTTCCCTTGGATAATATTTTACGTTTCCAAATTATCCATGTCTTTGGTAGATCACAAGAAACTCGAAATCATCAAATTGTTGACATTCTTTCAAGCTTGAGGGCTTTCCGATAGTAAGGAGTGCAAAAATGGATAATCGGGTGTAATAACACGTTTCCTTGGTTTCGTCAAAATGGGTTATCGAGTCTATGATTGACATGGCGAAGTTGTATTTCCGTTTTTATGTAGGTGAGAGTTGTAATCCGGAATGAGATCCAAAACCCGAACAAGTCGTGTTTCGATTTTCGGCTTTATGGTATACATAAGGGAGACAATCGGTGTTTAATTAAATATCGTAAACATTGGGACGTGCAGATGTGAAAACATGTGCTTGTAGACTTGGTAACATAACGGTGCGTTTGGATAGAATTTGATCAGTAAAATGCAGACAATTTCATGATTTGTTAGGGGAACACAGTGTCGAGGTTATTTTTTATATTATTTTTTTTCAGATTCTTCTGGCGTATGCATTTAAAACATATTTTGTAATTTGCGACATCGCAACATGTTTTTATCGATGCTGTTGAAACTTACCAATTCTTGATGAGGGAAACAGCACTCCAGGTTTTAATCAATCAGCATATTATCGGGTAATTCTTTTGATGGATGTCTTTTATGGGAATTCATGGAAAAGGTCATAAACTGTGATCAGATGTCTTGAATTAACTCTTGGCCGGTTAACTCTGTTGATAAACAGATCTGTTGCAAATATATATTTTTTAATAATGGGCAATGGCATCATCATGGTCATGTAACAGAAGATTTGTCAATGAGTCAGTTCATGATTAATACTGAAACATTGGTGTGTGAATTAGACAGATTTTGCTTTATGATAAATATTCTCAGTGAGATCATACACTCTGCCCAGTATTGACTGGTGACAGAGATCCAGGATGATCTGGTCTGCCAGGTTCCTCTGTAGTCATGCCTTCTGCTTTCTTCTGTAGGTCTGCCAACTGATGTGAGCTTGCAGAACTGAATATATAACAGAGTACAGAGATGTTTGACACTGAGGACTGGAATGTTGATGGAGAGGCAGTCCATCTTGCTTCTTCTCTGTTTGATCCCGTCACACCAACACATCCAGGAAAGAAGGTCAGTGACTTCAAAAAAAAAACATTCCTAATGTTTCCTCACATTAAAGGAGAATGTTCTAATACAACATCAAAGTTGTGTGTTTAGTCTTTTGGGATGTTAGAAATATTGTTAATTGATCTATCACAAACAGCCTCGACTTCTGTGAGTGCTTCGGATCAGCCACTACCTTAACAATAGGTAGTCGGGTAACATGGTGGCTAAAATATTCACAAATCAAAATTAGATTTGGTACCCTACATTGGTACAGTGTACAAAGGCCATTCTCCCTTTCTCCATCCATCTGCACTGAGCTCTGATTTGATTAGTCTTGTAATTTCAGAAAAAGAAGTCCAAGCATTCTGATCCAAATTTGACGAATACCAGTGACAAGAAATCTCCCTTGAAGAGGAAACTTTTTGATGAAAGCAGTCGGAGTATGAAAAAGAAGAACAAGAAAAGAAGTGATGAGAGAAATAAAGAAGATGCACCAGCTGAAGTAGAATCTGGAAAACAAAACCTTCACCATGACTGTGTTTCAGGGAGCAAGAAGAAGAAATTACTGATATCTCCGATAAAAGCTGGAGCTCTAAGCAGCGAGGAAAACATTACAAAGAAAAAGAAGAAGAAACAGAAAGTGCCTACTTCACAGGAAAATGTTCCAAAACCTGATCCGTCTGATAATTCCCAACATGACAAGAAAAAGAAATTGAAAAGGAAAAAAATAAGAGGAGAAATAGAAAAGGATGATGAGTCACCATCTAAGAAGCTGAAGGTTCAAGAAACACAAGGACAGGATGAAAGTAGAGTTGAGGGGGACACCACTCTGACCAGGAAGCAGAGAAGACACAAGCATAAGAAGAAGACAAGTAAGAAAAACAAATACAAACATCTAGCTGATGCTAGGAAAAACTCTGATGGGACCGATGGAAGCACAGGCAGTATACCTGCAGCTTCTCAAGACCCAGTTGTTAAAGGTCAGTTTGTTTTGTTAAGGAAAAACACTGGTGATAGTGAGGAAACTTTACCAAACAGTGAACAATCTTTAGATAAAAAGAAGAAAAAGAAACGCAAAAAGAATGTCAAGCTTTCTGATCATCCAAGTCAGGAAGTAAAAAATAACAGTGTGAATGAGAATGTTTCAATATTTAATCAAAGTAGGACTGATTTTGAAAGAAGTAGTGATAAAAAGAAGCAGAAGATTAATTCAAAATCTGAGAGTGATGTTTCATTGATGATTACTAAGTTGAAGACTCCCAAGAAACACTCGTATGATTTGGAGAAATTGAAAGAAATCCTTTCCTCTAATGAGAAACAGTCTGTAAAGAAAACAAATTCTGGTAATGGACAAAAGGAAAAGAAAAAATCATTTGAGTACACAGGAACACCTGTGAATAAGAAGAAAGGTATTACGGACAGTATTTCAAATGACAGTAGTGACACTGCAAACAGTCCATCAAAAGTAAAATCTCCTACAAAACACAATTTTGATGTGAAAAAATTGAAAGAAATTATGTCGTCTGAGAAGAAAAAGATGGACACTCTGAAGCAGGACATTGAGAAGAAAGAAAAGAGGAGAGACAGGAACCGACGGAAGTCTTTAACAGACAAGATGCATGAACGTTTGGCAGCTGCACGATTCCGCTATCTCAATGAGCAGTTGTACACCACAACAGGCAATGAGGCAGCGCAGCTGTTTGCTGATGACGAGGAGGCCTTCCATGTGTATCATGAAGGTTATAGTTCACAGGTCAGCAAGTGGCCAATCGATCCACTGGACGTCATCATCAAAGAGATCAATGCCAGGCATAAGTAAGCCAAATATATTGGTTTGTATATTGTCTAACTAAGCATGCTGGTTATTGTCTAGTAATGGTCACTGCATATTATTAGAGTGAGAGGGTATGGTTTTATGACGCTTTAGGCAATATTTCAGCAATATTCTGGTGGTTTCCCCGCCATGACATTGCTGGAATATTCCTAAAAGCAGCATAAAACCATACTTGCTCATTCTCCCATTAAGATGGGCCTGAGTGACCCATCCATCTAAGGCAACCCAGTATGCTGTTTGATGTTGCGTTCCCCGGCATCCCAGAATCCTATAATTGTGGGTTCAAATCCTGTTTCATCCAATTATGTGTGTAGGTCTTTTTAGCAGCATACCCATGCTTGGGTTTAACAGACGTTGTCTTGGACCTTCATCACGAAAGGCTTTCCACCCACATCATGCTGACATGCCGTGATATAACTGCATCACCTGATCCATTTAGTTGCATGTTCCAACAAGGATAAGTAGCTGTGGACTAATTCTGACAAAGATTCCATGCAAGGGCAACACATGTTAAGATGACAGCTTCATAGATTCCTTAATATGTGTGGTGTCAGACGACAAACAAACAAATTTGTTACTAACATGTCAGAAAGGAGATAATGATAGACTGTGGTGTTGAATATTTTAGTGTTTATTTGGCACTGAGTTGTTTATTTTGTCTGGTTAATGGTGTGAAAATAGATAAAATGTAATTTTTATGTGTTTTAGTGTAAAGTACATGCATCTGCTCCAGTCATTGGTTTCCACTGTTAATGGAATACAGAGTGCAATGTTGGTAGAATCATATTTTGTACTTCAGTATGATACTCCTTGGCGTGAAGATCTGACTCTCCCTTGACGGCTGCATGGGGTAAATCCCTGAGTGAACTTTAACCACCCAATCTAAATGAAGATGTGCATGTTTTTGAGCCAGTCAGATGTCAACTTTTGTTATAAATAGAATGGCCTACAAATACAATCCGATGTTTATGTTGTTTTTCAACTTGTTCAACATCCAGAAATCTGATATGCCACTCTGAATGGTTCAATCATCTGGACCAAGAGCGTTGAAACCTTAGTTTTCTTAATCAGATGTGGAGACAAATGCTGTTTTGTATGTATTTTCTATTAAAAGTATTCAAGCATTCCTTTGATCGATAAATAATGAGGGACAGTTGGGTAGTGGAATGGTTCCCTGTAAATAAAGAGTGAGTGTGTGTGAGTGAGTTTAGTTTTATGCCGCACTCTGCAATATTCCATCTATATGGCGGCAGTCTGTAAATAATTGAGTCTGGACCAGACAGTCCTGTGATCAACAGCATGAGCATCGACAACTCAATCACATTAGTTGCCTCTTAAAACAAGCATGGGTTACTGAAGACCAATTCTAACCCAGATGTTCACGCTTCCATAAATAAAGACAGATAAACAGTTTCATCTATAAAAAAATATCAAGTATTTTGAGTAATGTAAGGAAATTCTTCAAGTTTTTTTATGGCTACATAAAGTTATATGACCATTTTGATATTCAGTTTCTGGAAAATACAGAAAATAATAGCTGTCGATTTTTATCAAAGATTCATCAGTTCGAACTAGCTGATATAAGATACAATCTGAATCACCGATACTAGTATGCTGACACATAATTGTGTGGGACTTGCTGTTTTTTCAGAACCCCAAAGACTGTCATTGCAGATTTGGGATGTGGAAGTGCAAGGCTGGCCCAGAGTATGTCTGGGGTCAAAGTTCATTCCTTTGACCTTGTCTCTGTCAACAAAAGAGTCACTGCATGTGATATGTCAAAGGTATGTGTTTTTATGTGGTATCATATTTATTTCACATATTTGGTGTTTGGCAAACTGAGCATCAAAAGTCTTTTAAAATGTTCCGACTTCTGTCTATGGTTCTAACTATGTTGTAGGTGCCCCTAGATACTGGATGTGTGGATGTAGCAGTGTTCTGTCTGTCATTGATGGGAACAAACCTTACAGATTATCTTCTTGAAGCAAACAGGATTCTCAAAGAAGGGTGGGTTTTTACTATGCTACCCATAGATAAAAGAAAAGTAAGGAACATATGTATCATGTGATGAAACTTTCATGTATTTTGATGTTCGGCTAATGAACTTTGTTTAGATAAAGTGTGTATCTGGAGACAGATAGCCTTGATCGATTATTACAGACTGCCTTGATGTAGCTGGAATACCGCTGAATGGGAAGTCAAACAATATTCACTCATTTCTCTAAATATTGTTTGTTTTGTTTTCTTCAGGGGCGTAATGATGATTGCTGAAGTTGAGAGTCGTTTTCAGAAAGTTGGTGCATTCATATCCGAAGTTGAAAAACTTGGATTTGAAATTGTCAGCAAGGTAGGAAGAAGAATGTACTGAACTTCAGATGCCACAATGTCATATTTATGATGGTTTTATAGGATAATCAGGGTTTTAATAACAGATGAAACTGCACAGTTGTGTCAGCTACTCATTTAACTCATGTCAGGTAGTGAGCCCAGGTTGGCAGTGCTAGACAGATGAGTAGAAGCCTGGGGCCCCTCTGGGTTATGCAGAGATGCCAACCTCTACGATTGTATCGTAGTCACTACGAATTTTAGCCCCAAACTATGCCAATACGATTGCACTTGAAAGTCTACGAATTTGAAGAAAATCCATTAAAATTCGGATGTATAGACAAAAACATATATTTGCAACACTCTTGGGTTTGCATCTCTGTTATGGGGGGTAGTTTTTTTGCAGTAACTGTAATCATCAGCATATGTCACAGCTGAAAGAATCCGCTAGTTCTTGGTTTGACTCCCAGATTTGCCTGTATGGTCCTTGGTGTGGCTGCATTACAGTCAGGGGAACAAAGGTGTATACATGTAGAGATTGCTTTATTTCTTACTCTTCTGCCTTTTAATGTTGGCACATAAGTGTTACATCACAAATGCTTATCTGGTGGTTGGACCCACATCTTCCATCATCATCAACTGGTGTAAAGGGCTAATATTTGAGAAACTTCTTCAATGTTTTGTGCCAAAGAAATGCTTGATTTAAGTACTTCTCATTGATGACATCTTGACATGTAGTGTTAACCTAATGATGTTTCAGGACACATCCAACAAGATGTTTTACATGTTCCACTTCAAGAAGGTACGTGGAATGAAGGAAACCCCTCTGAACTTAAGCATTGAACTGAACCCATGTATCTACAAGAAACGATGATCTGGATAAATGTACCTTCAAGAACCAATGACCTTGATCTTGTACCTTCAGGAAGTGATTACCTTGTATCTTCAAGAAGTTATGACCTTGATACTTGTACCTTCAAGAAGTGATGACCAAGATCGTTTGAAGAATCAATGACCTTGAACCTTGTACCTTCAAGAATCAATGACCTTGAACCTTGTACCTTCAAGAATCAATGACCTTGATCCTTGTACCTTCAAGAAGTGATGACCTAGAAAGGCTAGATCCTTATTGATTCAAGAAGTCTCTAAAGAGACAGTAATTGCCACTTTTTGCAATTATGCATAAATCGATTACAGCGATATTTGATTTTGTGATAAATCATTCAATAATAATGTCATGTTTCTATTTCATGTTTATTGTTTTACCAAGAACTTTATATAAATTACGATTCTGTTCTTCTCCAGACATGAGCTAAGAAAACCTTAATGCAATCCGATACAAATATACTGAACATCATTGAAAACGCACCACTTATAAAAGTTCAGATTATTAAAAGCACGTGTAAGGAATTGATATTTTTTGAGTGGATAATAACAGATGGATGACTGACAAAAACAACAACACAGAAAAGACGCTCATTCATTGAAATGTTCCACAGTCAGAAAGGATCAAACACGTGGGGTCAAATCGAAAAGTCAATATAGCGTGTGACCGCCATTTGCATTGATACATGCAGTTCAACGTCTCCTCATTGAGTCAATAAGCATCCGAATAGAGTTCTTGAGGATGGCATTCCACTTCTGCAGTAGTGCAGCCTCAAGTTCCCGGATGTTTCAGCATCTGTTGTCGCCGCGAATGACTTTGACCAATTTCGTCCCACAAGTGCTCCATGGGGATACATCTGGTGACTGTGCTGGCCAATGAATAACCTGGATGTGTTGCTGGGCCAGATACTGCATGGAAAGTCTTCTTGTGTGTGCCCGTGCGTTGTCTTGTTGAAAAGTATGGACATCTTGGTGGTGATTGAAGACAGATACGATGTGATTCTGAAGAATCTGCTCACGGTAATAAAGGGCATTAACTCTCCCTTGACAGACATAAAGGCAGTCCTGTGATTATGATTTATTCCACCCCAGACCATGACACTCCCACAACCCAAAGGTCTCTCTGAACCACACACTCATCAGCATAATGTTCACCACGTCTACGCCAAACACGTAATCGGCCGTCAGCATTACGTAGGAAAAGATGTGACTTGTCAGTGACTACCACACCATGCCATTGTTGTAACCTTTACTGAAAATGCATGCCACCCCATTGTATACGCTCGTTACGGTGTCTGTCAGTTAGAATTGGTCCAACGTAAGGACGTCGAGCATGGAGCCCTGTAGCGTGTAGACGGCGTCGCATGGAGTCAGCGCTGATGACCCCAACGTCAACCTTGAACTAGTGCAGCAGTCCTGGCAGTCGGCAGTGTTCAGTCACTGATATGGACAAGGTCAATATGGCGATCCTAATGGAGCGTCGTAACATGTTGTTGCCAAGGTCACTGAAGGTCACGGGTGCTGTCTGTCTACTGATGTCGGTGATGAAGCCTAACGATGGTGGTATGGCCAAGTCCAAGTTGTTGAGCACTATGCCTGCTGCTGGTGCCAACCTGAATCATGCCTAGTGCACGTTCTCTTTCGTGAGGTGTTAACCTCGGCATACCTCACAATCGTTAGTGAAGCAATGAGAATCGGTTCACATACACCTGCTTTTAATGTCACAGTCAGTATGATTTCGGAATGAAATTCGCGCTTTTTTCATGGCGTGGCTGCATGTTGATGCATTTTGGAATTAAGAGTCATACTGTGGACAGGAATTTGTTTCTAAAGCATTTTTTCAACTGGACATGCCCTTCGACTTCATGTTAGTTATATTCATTGATCATTGTCATGCTGAAATCCATCTTGATGAAAATATGGACAATTTTAGACTGGTGCGTTTTCAATGATGTTCAGTATATTATGGTTAATATATTCAACACTGGTGCAGTGTGGAGTATGAAGCGGAATTTATTTTTCACGTTTTACATTTTGTTAAGTTTTGAAATTATGAAAATAGAAGCAACAAGACCCTTTTCACATTCATAGAAAACTACGCCAAAAGCATAGTCGATTGTACAATTGTGACTATATCATGAGCAGATATTTGTGTGAGCAGTATTCAAACTTTGACTCCAGGATTTGTGGCTCTTAAGAACAAGCTCACAGATTATGAAGTTGTAAACATGGTAAGCTTATTAAAAATATTGTTTGTCATTGACACTTCTGCACATATCATGTCGTTTTGTTGTATCTTATTTGTGTTACATAGTTTTGAAGACCTGACAGACTATTGCAGTTATTCCAAAAAATGACAGCAGATGTTTTGTGTGATACAAATGTGTAACATATTGTGTACTGTTAATTTGTCCACATGGTTCCATAAGGTCAGTTTTGAAAGTTATCTGGATTTTTGGTCATTTCATTATGTCTGTACTTAATTTTGCCAGTGTGTCATTGGAAGAATTATCATTTGTCATTGATAGATTGTCGTTTTGCTATGGACAAATCCCTGTTGATTGACTGTGGCATACCTACTGGTACACCAGCTGTTCTTTGGTTTATTACATGTTTTAAAGGCTTTGTTAGTAAATGTTGCTGATTTTGTACATGCATCATGTCTATCATATAAATATCATTTATCATCTATCATTTTCTGCATTATGATAATGTCTCATATACCAAACCGAACCAAAACGGACCGAACTAAAGGCCTTGTACCGCAATACGTACCGTACCATAAGAGCGTACCATTTCACCCCTATTTTAAAGGCTTTGTTAGTAAATGTTGCTGATTTCGTACATGCATCATGTCTATCATATAAATGAAAGTGCAGTTAATCTTGCTGATTTTCGTACATTATGTGTTGTTTTCCATATTTGTCACAGGACAAGAAAACGGGGTTATAATAAACTTTGTTTTCCTATGCTACATTCATCAGGACTGATATAACCAGCAATGGCTCTTTGATACTGCTCATTCATCGGCCTTAAGCTTGACCATCCATCCTAGGGTACATGGGCAAGTCGCTGAATGTGCCACTGAAAAGTGTTTTTAACTATGTCACAGCAAGGTGTAAATACCAGAGTCTGTGCAAGTTGTGTGAATGACACCATTTGGCCAGATACATTAAAACCAAGGGGCGTTGGTGTATCCTAGTGGTTAAAGTGTTTGCCCGTCTCGCTGAAGGCCTGGTAGAATGTGTGAAGCCCATTTCTGGTGTCCCTTGCCATGCTACTGCTGGAATATTGCTAAAAGCGGCGTAAAACCCAGCTCACTCACTCAAGGCTCGGAGTGTGAGAACCAGATTACAAAGTTGCCTCTTACAACTAGCATATGTCAGTGGGATTCTATTCGAACACAGAATCCCAACTAGGCATAAATAAGAAACTGAAGACATTTTGCCTTTTCAATTGAATGTTTTTGGAATGGTTGAAGTATGTTCATCATTAAGTACCTTCTCTCCAGGAAAAGGATTTCACTGAATGATGACATTGATTCACATGAATGTTCTCACCATGTGTAAATGAGTGAGTGAGTGAGTTTGTTTGGTTTTATGCCGCTTTTAGCAATATTCCAGCAATATCACGGCGGGGGACACCAGAAATGGGCTTCACATATTGTACCCATGTGGGGAATCGAACCCGGGTCTTCCGCGTGACGAGCCAAAGCTTTAAACACTAGGCTACCCCACCGCCCCCCATGTGTAAATGAAAAAAACTAATGAATGCCATTTGTAGCAATGTTTATTAACAAATTACAGTTCTGTAAAATAACAGTATTGTGTTATATAACATGTTCTCTGTACATGTTTGTGACTAGAGGAGCATATGACGCATTTAGTAATTATAATAAATACTGACACTTCAAGACACAAGTCTGGAAATGTATTATTCAATAAATAGACAATAAACAGTTCTAGTATATATATCTGACACAGTGGCGTAATACCATTCTGCGCATCCAAGTTGGAGGACAATAGAGGGTGGAGGGGCTGTCCTCGAAGGGGTGTGGATGGGGAGGCATCAGGTCATCCAGGAGGAAGGGAGCCTGTCCTTGGTCCATATCCACCCATCTGATGAAAGGGTCATCACTAATGCCGTTGTAAGGCTCTGAAATAATACAAACAGGTCACCAATTTTGTCAGATGGATCAAAGATAATGTCTTCATAAGCATGTGATATTCTCGTTTCTTGTGTGTATTTGATCTCACTCTCGGGTTTGGTCTGATCCAGTCGTCGGAATTGTCAGAAACAAACATGTATAGAATGAGTTAGAGCAGAGCTAGAGGCTGTGGTCCAATATGCGTCTTCTTTTAGGTCACGTAATAGAATCATACCTTTTAGTTCTCCAGCCACAATAGTGCCGCTCGTTACGCCTAAACCTCGGACGTGGTGGAAATGGGAATTGTCGTTTGCAGGAACTTAATCTCGTAACTGTATTTTAACATCCGAACGGTCACAAAAAGTGTGGCACTCACCTCGAAATTTCATAATTTTCTTCATTTCATGGGTCGCCATGGCGAGATAGGTCATAAGAATCATCTTGACCTATAAAGTTCCGAAGAAAGAAAAACTACCCATAAAGATGTATGTATTTCTCAGCTTTGAAATAAATAAATAAGGACATTTCAACTATCCCATGCTGGCTAAAGTAAACTAGCTGTCACTATAACTATATATACCAGTGCTACAGTATTTCATAACAATAGAAGAGAATAGAATAATACTTTAATGCCTTTTCAGGAATTTGTGTTACATCAGCAGAGCTACTGACACATTAGAGAGATACCAAACATATTTACATAAATTCTTTGATTTAGGTATCTTCACATTTGTTTAAGAGAGATATGGTACTTGGAATAAAGGATGTACGGGCTCTCTTAGTTTTCACAATTGGAACTTTGTAGCGGCGGCCTGAAGGGAGGAGGTTGTATTCCGAATTTAAGTAGTGAGTACGGTCAGATATGATTTTGACAGCTTGATTCACGATTTGCCGCTCATATATTGATGATAAACATTCAAATCTGACTCCAGCGATTTTACTTGCAGTGTTAACAATTTTGTCTATTTTAGATTTGAGATGAACTGAGAGAGACCCGTACCAACAATGGAAGGAAAATGTTAAAATACTCTGAATAAATGCTACATAAAAAGATGACATCACAGATGGGTTAACATTAAAAGATCTCAGTTTACGCATGAGATGAAGACGTTGTTGACACTTTTTGTATAGGGCTTCAGTGTTAGAGTTCCAGTTCAGCTTAGAGTCAATGAAGGTTCCCAGATACTTATACTCCGACACTGTCTCAACACATTCACCGTTGATTATCACTGGAAGCATTTCTGTGGGTTTACTCCGAAAGTCAATTATCAGTTCCTTTGTTTTTGTGACATTTAAGAGTAAGTGGTTTTCTGCACACCAAGTCGTAAAATGATTAATGTCCTCTTTATACAGTTCTTCAGAA